GCTGGGGTAATTAAATGCTTCCGTTTGATGAGGCTGATTTGCTCTGGGCCTTTGCGGTGTCGCTCGGGCAGAATAAACAGCTTCCTCGTGGCATTGGCCATATTTTCCTCCTGATATACCACTACTTTATGACTTTGTCTGGGTTGTAAAATCCTCTGGGGATCCTCCAGGCTGAAAGATAACATGCATGGCTGTTAGAGCCCTGTTACTGCAGCAGTTTAGGCAGGAGGGTTAATATTTTTTCTTGCCTGTACTGACTTCTGTTTTACATATTCTGTACGTGCCTGGACACAGAAGAGGAAGGTGGATTTAAACCTTCTGCCTGTGCTGCTTGTGTTTCCTCAATGTATAAGCTGTAGCTGATGAAGGTGACAGATTATCTAATCAATCTTATCTTATCTGGTTGTTATCTCTTATTATCTTCCAGGTTTGCAGCATGAAGGAATATTCAGAGTGTCTGGGTCACAAGTGGAAGTGAATGACATAAAAAATGCATTTGAGAGAGGTAAGAAGTACCTCAGAAATAGTTGCTAAGTGTAGGATTGTGTTTAAATACCCTGAGATGTCCTGATTTGAATGCAGCTTCCTAGATTGTGCCTTTGATTTTTGTGTTCCCTAAGTGAGTCTCTCCCAGGCTCTTCCCCAGTGCTCATTAACCTTGAATTCAGTTTGGTGTTATGCTTTCTGTCTCCTAGAGTGCCTGTATAATAAATATTCTGAGTTCAATCTTCTCCCATGTCTGATAGCTTATTGATTGTTTGTAACGCCAAAGGACGCAGAGAATTTCATTATTAGGTGTTACTCTCATTTCCTGCCTCTCCTCCAGCTCTTTGTGAAACACACTGGCTGCTAGGGGAGGAAATTTCAGCTTTGCCATGTTCTAAATACCAGCAAGGGAGAGAGTAAATTTCAAGACACTGTTAATTTGACATTGCTTTTAATAGATGTGATTTTTCGACTGGGAAGAACCATTCCATACAAAAGCAAAGACCTGCTGGGAGCCTCCTGACTCATCAGCTCCTTGCTGGGCTGTTCTCCCTGGCAGAGCAGGTTCAGAAGAGCTGCACTTCAGGCAGTCCTTGCAGCTCATCCTCCCCAGCCTTGCTTGGGTCACTGGGAACAACAGAGCTTGTGTTAATCCCCCTGAATGCATCACTCTCAAAGAATAGAGACTGTGTGTTGCTGAGCTTGCTGGGGGAAGAGACAAGCAGTAATTAATTAGGCAGAGCAAGTTTATTTTGCTTGGGGGAAGAGAGAAGTGTAGTGAGTAACATGTGTGAAACGTGGGGTGTAATGTCACCTGTCTTCACCTCCATCTACCTGAGAGGTAAATCCTCCAGAGCAGAGGAAACAGAGAGTGCAGCACAGTAAGGTGAAGGCTCAATGTCAGAATCAGACCCTGTTTACATCCAGAAATCCCAGTCAGCTTGGGAGAACAACCACTTGTTCCAGCACTGCCATGCAGAAATAAAAAAGGGGATTTTTTTTTGAGCTCATCTCTCTGTAAAGCCAATGATGTACACAACTGCCAAACTTAACAATAACGTCCCTGCAGTTTATTACTTCATCCAGAGCCCTTGGTGGCAGTTAATATCAGGGATAATGCTTTGGTTTGGAGTGGCCCATTTATTATCCCATGTGTTATTAAGATAATAGGCAAGCTTTTGGTAATTTCAGTCACATAATGGATATATATAGCTTCAATTTGAGGATTGCCCCAGCATTAAATCTAATTATGGCTGATAGGGAGTTTTCCCTAGGGAACAACTCCTTAAGTGGGCATCTTGCCTTGGGTAATACAGACAAACTGTGGCATATCTGCAGCAACAAATTGTCCCCTGAACACTCCTCCCACCCAGTTCACCACATCTGCATCCTGCTGAGCCAGCTGTGATGCTCAGGGGCCTCTGGAGTGTCCACTGCACCCACCTGAGCTGCAGCTGAGTGTGCCTAAAGACTCACTCACAAACCCATGTAACATTCACCTCTGTGCTGGAGCTGTGATGTTCACACCCTACCAAAATATCTGGAGTGTTACTACTGCTCCAGGAGCACCAGCACCTCCGTGGGTGTCAGCCAGGCACTGTGTCAGACTGAAATCTGTCTGATAGGAGCTGTCCCAGGTCTCCTGGGATTGCTGTCAGAGCACAGGAGAGATCTCTCTCTGCCTCTAGCTGGTTGTAGTGCAGTTGGAGTAGGTGGGATTAGCATAAATCCTTTTCTCCTGCTGAGGTACTTCCTTCCAGTGTTCTGATTTTTCTTGCCTGGTTTTTTTTTTTTTTTTGCCATGAAGGGGAAGATCCCTTGGCTGGGGACCAGAACGACCACGACATGGATTCAATAGCAGGAGTCCTGAAGCTCTACTTCCGAGGGCTGGAGCACCCACTCTTCCCCAAGGATATCTTCCATGATCTGATTGCCTGTGTCAGTAAGTACACGAAGAACTGAAAAGAAATAGGATTGATTTTTTTCTAACCTCCTGCTTTTCTTGCCTCCTTTCCTCCTTTTTTTCCTGACTCCCAAAACAGCTTTTTCACGGCTACTTTGGTTGGGTTTCTGTTGCTCTGTTAGCCAGTCTGGGCAGTCACCTGGTCCCAGACATCCTTACTCTGATGGGAACAAACAAGGAGATAGAATGAACAGATTTTAAGGTCTATGCCACGATTTCTGTGAGGCTTTGCTTCATGACAGGATTCTTTTCCAACAGCATAAAGCAAAAACCTCCACTTGGGGAAAATAATCTCAAAGACCTGTCATGAGATGATGTCAGAAATGCTCTCTCAGAGACAGGGATCACCAGCAGGGTGATGCTTTCCCTGGCATTGATAGATACACACTGCAGGATGTTGCTGCTGTGCTCATCAGCTGGAGAGGTAATACTCAGATAACCACAAGGGACCATCCACTGCCTCCTGTTGGACCATATCAATCCTCAGTGCAGCCACAGTTGAGCTGTTCACATTTCTGATGGTTTCTAAAGGTGATTCTGGTAAGCAGAGGGTTCTTTGTGGTTTCTGTATGTGAACAACCCCAGTTGAAATGTCTCTGGCTATTGCCACGTCCTCCAGGACTGAAGAATGATTCTATTGTCCAAGCAGAGAAATGGCCCTTGCAGGAACCTTTGAAGTGAAGCAGAAGATAACTGCTTTGAAATGACTCGTGGTTTTCTGCTCCTGATAAATACATTTACAGAGCTGAATTCAACACGATGAAAAATAAAATCTGCTTCCAAATAAGCTCTCCCTTCCGAGATGATTTATGCTGCCCACTTGTTTCTCAGTAGGCTGCAGCACACAGAGCTTTTTGCCTCACCCTTTAACTATGTTAATGTTCCTTTGAGCCTTACACAGTTTCTTTTTTAAACACCCACCTTTCTAGGCTGACTTGAATGAGCTATTGTGCCAGAGCTATTGGAACAGATGACATCCAGTGCTCCCACGCTTGGAAGAAACTTGCAGTGAAGTTTTACATGTTCAGGGACCTTCACTGTCAAAGGGCTTTGCCAGCAGGTTCTGCAGCCTTTGCATTCCCATGCTGGGCAGAACTGGAAAATCAGGAGCACAGGAACCATCCTAGTACACTGGTTGGATTTGACCCCAGTGGCAGGTTGTGGGTATGGTGGGATGATGACTCTGGTGCTCTTTCTTCCTTTCAGCAATGGATAATTTACAGGAGAGAGCTCTGCACGTCCGGAAGGTGCTGCTGACCCTGCCGAAGACCACTCTGATTGTCATGAGATACCTCTTTGCATTCCTCAATCAGTGAGTATCCCTGGGAGCACCAGGGCTCTGCTGCAGTGCTTGGTATAAGCATAGAGTCACTGAGGTTGGAGAACACCTCTAAAATTGGGTCTAACCATTCCCCCAGCACTGCCAAGGCCACGACTAAACCACATCCCTAAGTGCCACATCTACAGGTCTTCTAAACACTGCCAGGGATAGTGACTCCAGATGGGTTGGGTTGGAAGGGACCTTAAAGCTCATCTCGTTCCACTCCCTGTCGTGGTCAGGGACACTTTTCACCAGCTCAGGTTGCTCCAAGCCCCATCCAGCCTGGCCTGGGACACTCCCGGAGATGGAGCAGCTACAGCTTCTCTGAGCAGCCTGTGCCAGTGCCTCAGCACCTCACAGGGAGAAATTTCTTCCTAGTATCTAATCTAACCCTGCCCTCTGTCAATTTAAACCCATGGCAGAGGGGACCTGCTGTAACTCTGGTACTGAGTGTTGAGCTGCAGTTGAGCTCTGAGCAGCTATAACAGAGAAGAAATAAAGGCAAAGATTAATGTCCTCCCATTGTAAAGTCAGCACCCAGTTCTTTTCACACAGTCTCAACCTTTCAAACTCCCCTTGTGGTTTCTCTTTCATTTCTCTGTGTATACCATCAGTATCTCATTTTTCACCTGGATCCAGAACATTCGTGTCCCAGCCAGTCCAGAAAGCCCAAAGCAAACCTTCCGAGCTCAGCTCTGTGTTCTCCTCTAGATGATGGTGCTAATGCTGTTTTCTGCTGTTCACTCTCCTTCCCACTTCTGTGTTTTCACAGTTTATCTCAGTTCAGTGAAGAAAATATGATGGATCCCTACAATTTAGCCATCTGCTTTGGGCCAACGCTGATGTCTGTGCCTGAAGGTCACGATCAAGTCTCTTGCCAAGCTCATGTCAACGAATTGATCAAAACCATCATCATCCAACATGAGAACATCTTCCCAGGACCAAGGGACTTGGAGGGTCCACTCTATAGCAGAGGTGGAAACACAGAGGATTACTGGTATGATAGGTACCACTGAGGAGAAGATGAATGGGGACATTGATCTATGGATTATGTGCTGCAGTTGTGTGTTCTGTGTTGTCTAGCTCCAGATTAGAGCATCTGGCCCAGCCTTTCAGAAATCTGTTTTATGGAGGAGAAGATGGCTCTGGTATCTCTGGAGAGCCATTGACTTAAAAGAAATAAGCTGGTATAAAGTAGCTATTCAGTTGTCAAACCTAGCTCACTTATCTTGAAGGGCAAGGTTGTGTAGGGATTTGCTTGGATATTCTGGTTTGGTAGCTGCCAAAATCAATCTCTTTTTGTTGCTTTTTTTTCCCCCCCCCTCTTCTTTTTTTTCCTCCTGCTTTTGCTTTTTCTTTCTGCTTGTCTGGAGAGCCTTTGCTGCAGACACAGGGGTCACTCACAGCTGAACCTCGAAGGCTGTGGCATGGTTTAATTTTCAGGGCAGCACTGAGGGTGGGGGAGGGAAGAGGGAGGAATGCAAAATCACCATTTCCATGCAGCCCAAAGCTCCAGAGGCTCAGCCTCGTGCTCAGTCTGAGAGGCACATCTGGAAGCAATTCAGGCAGAGCGGCTCCTGTCATCTGGGGTGGAAGGTTGGGGAGTGGGGGAAGGAAAGGAGGTGTTTTCTTTCCTACTGACCAAACTGATCTCTCCCTCTGAAGATGAGGAATGTTCAATCGTGTCCTGCTTTCTCCCCCTGCTCCTTTTCTCTCCTTCAGTGTCCCAGGAATGCAAATGATTATTTTCATGTACTAAAATAAACAGGGTTTGAAATGAAGTCACTGTGGTGACAGAGCAAGCCTTGTTTCCTTGGCTTGGTGCAGAGTAGCTGTAGCTATCAACTCACTCCTCATACATGTGGCAAGGAAAAGCTCCTCAAAACTCACTGCTGTGTGCAGAAGACTTGCCAAAACCCTTTGGAAATTCTGTTCATTTTCTCCTTGCTCTGATGTTTTTAGCTGATGTTAGATGTGAAAGAATTGCAGGGGAGAAAAAAAAAAACAACTTAATAATATTTATGACTTTAAGGAAACACATTAACTTGGACAAGAGGTTTTGTCCCATTAGGTGAAAGGGATAAAAATGTGCAATGCTGAGTTCCCTCAGTTTGGGTGTCGCTGCTCAGGAGTGTGTGGGAGGCAGAATGTCCTGGGGAGGTTTTATCAGTTGTCTGAAGGTTTTTCCTCATTGCCCTTCCTGAGCAACCTGACCTGAAGGCCTGAGAAGGGCAGAAGCAAGCACAGGAGGCTGCTGAAAGCCAGGAAGAAGCATCTGGTTCCCATTCCAGCCCTCTCATAGCCCTGGTATTTCCATAGCTCTTCAGTATTGCCCGTGGGCTCCTCTCCACAGGGCGAATCCTTGGGCTGATTCCTCAGGGAGTGGAGCCTGCTCCAGCTGGGATATCCCAGTGCCACTTCATGGGCTGAGTCCTCTGTGCCAGGAGCTCACAGAGGTGTTTTGGTGTGGAGCTGCCCAGGCTCTGTGCCATGGCTCCTGCTCTGCTCCTCGCTTGGAGCTGGCAGAACTGTGGAACAGCTTCCCCTGGGCACAGCAGGGTAGAGCAAGGGTCAGAGTTTGTCCTGAGTGTTGAAATCCTGCCTGTGAGTCAAGCCTGGGCTGTGCTGCATCTCTGTCCATCTGCAGGAGGACAGTGCAGGGAGAGTCTGAGAGTCCAGGGTACAGGCCAGGGAGCCCATGGAAATCACCAGGGTGAGGATAGTGTGGAGATGCTCGACTTGCATTCCTTATGATGTCACCTATTGCACCTCCAGAGCCTGCAGGGTGACACCCACAGCATCCCTGCCCTGCCTGCAGGGAGAGGGGCTAGAGGCAATGGCCATAAGCTGAGACAGGGAAGATACTCGGATTAGATATTAGGGAACATTTTTCCCTGTGAGGGTGTTCAGGCACTGGGATAGGTTTGCCCAGGGAGGTGGTGGAGTCACCATCCCTGGAAGTGTTTAAGAGACATCTGGATCTGGTGCTGGAAGATATGGTTTGGTATTCAGGGGTTACAGCAGTGACAGGTTAAGGCTCAGACTTGATCTTACAGAGATGTTTTCCAACCTTGATGATTCTATGATTGTATGATCCCAGGGCTCACCCCCCAGAGAGGCTGCAGGGGTGGGATTTTGGTGGAAAATGCTGCTGGAGGCCTGGCTAGGAGGAGACACGTGGGCTCTGTGCAGCGTTGGCCGTGCGCGACATGACTTCACAGTCTGAGTGAAACCTTAGCCCTCGATGCTGCCTTCCTCCTGGGGCCTCCATTTGGCTTCAGGTTCTTCTGTAAACTTTATTAAGTAGCAGAAAGGCTTTGCAAAGGATGGGAAAGGTTGATTCCTGAGGTACTGACTCAGGAGTTGTTGGGCAGCTTGGTGTGCTGTGGATTAAAGTGGAACGAGACAGAATATCAAACACTTCACCCCTTCTCCTTTTTCTGCTTTCCTCCTCTGTAAAAGAGTGCAGGAGGGTGATTGCCAGGGGGAGAGCACTGTACAGCTATGGTTTTAACCATTGCAAGGTCAAAATGAGGCATGAAGTTATTCCTGTGTGAAGAGCCACAGAAATCACCTTTAAGGAGTTGCAGTGTAAGAGAAGCAGCAAAGGAGTTTCTTTAGCAGCAGTGTCTGGTAAGATGAAGAGTGAGCACTAGTTTTTAGCCCTTTTTTCCCCTCCTAGGAGCAGCAGGCAGGGCAGGCAGGGCTGCCAGCTGGCAGCAGCTCTGCAGAGCTGCTCGGGAGAGGCAATGGATCCTCTTCCAGTTTCCTTTCTGCTCCTGTCCAGAGGGAACTGCTCATGTAGCTTCTTACAAAAACATAACCTTTGGTTGCCACTTGTTGTCTATTGATCCTTTCAAAGCTTTTCTTCATGCCAAACATAAATGAGTCCTCTTGGTGGTTTAGGTGCTCTGTAAATAAAGATTTCAGGCAATTAATTGGGCTATGGGAGTTGTTGAGAGAAATGAATGGGACAGTTTAAGCTGGTGATAAAAGGGATGGAGAGAGATGACAAACAGAGACCTGGAAATATCATTATGAATCGAGACATAATTTCCCCCAGGAAGTGGCAGCTATCTCATCAGCCATCTAATGAGCTAATTAGAGCCATGGAGAGTGCAGCTGAGGGAATCATTCTTGCATGGCAAGAGGAACTAGACCCAGGATGCCACTGCTGCCTGACTGCTCAGGGTCTCCAGAGATCTGGGCTGGAGGATCTGAAGGTGGACTTTGCTGCTAGCAGACAAGAAGAGTAACCAAAGATGTTTGGTTTGGTTGATCAAATAATAATTTAAGCTTGATTTTTAGACACACTGACAGCATGTGCAGATACATCCACCAAGTGTCTGTCTCAGTGGCACCTGGATATTGACTCCTGATGGATGTGCCCAGTTGTCTCTGGTTGTTGTCAATGTGGAATCTCAATTTCCACCAGGGTAAACACTGTCTCTGTTTCCTTCTGTTGCAGTGAAAGTCCTCATGGAGAGAGAGCCTCAACAGAAGACTCTGTGCCAGATGTCACAGCTGAACACCATACCAGTGATGATGGTATGCCAAGTCTGTTATCTACTGGGTTAACTGGTGCAACCTACCTTGGGGGAGGCAGAGAAGGGAGTGCCCTGCAAGCAAAGTTTAAAGTTAGATCCAAAGTGGAGTTGCAATCAGCACAGTCACTTGAAACCTCACATGCAGCATTTGATGCCAAAAAGCAAAAAGGTGTAGGATTGAGAGGAATCTGTAGAAGTTTTGTGATTATTTTGGAACATATCCCTTCTTTTCACAAGTATCTCATCTTAGCAGCAGGTCTGGGCACACTCCATGCTGCTGTACCCTAGAAGGATCTTGGATTTGGAAGTCCTGGTGGAAGCACAGAGCCAGAGGCTGGATGTGTTTCAGCGTGTTCTCCCACTCCCCTGTGTGTGTGCCAGGCATTTCCCCCTTCAGTAACTCTGGCAGGGGAATTGTGAGTGCTCTAAGGCCCAGTGGATCTGCTTTAAGGAAGCAAACAAAGCAAAATCAAAACTGTTTGTCTTCCACTGAAAGGCATGTTTTAGGGTGTCTCTCTGTGATAATTTTTGGACTTTCTTGGGGAAACTCAGTTACATTTCTTGTCTGATCAGTGAAACGTGGTGCCAAGGCTGAGAATTTCACAGTATTTCCTAAGGAAAAGGTGACACTTCACTCATGAGTGTGTTGTTGGTGCTTCTGAAGTCTCCTGCGATGGGAACATCATATGAGTCCCATCCAGAGCAGAGGGAAAGATGAAGTTACTGAGGTGAAACTATGATCCCTGGAATACTGACCAGCAGGGAGAGCAGCCTGAGCCAACCAGCACAGAGTGTGGTTTTGTCCTTGCAGTTGTCTGAGTAAGCTCTGTGATGGTTTTGCTTGGCCTCAGTTGTAAAGGTGGGAAGTAGGTAACATTCCCTTCAAATTAGGTGACATCGTTTCTGAGCTGGTCTCAAGGAATTTACTCAATGGCCCTGCCAGGTGCTCCTGTGCTGCTTTTTGCTCTCTCTGCTTCAGCAGTTGCCTAACAAACCCTTCCCATGGCATCACTGTGCTCCTGCTGCTTTCATGGCTCGATGATCTTAAAGGTCTTTTCCGACCTAAACGATCCTATGATTCTCTGGTGTTCACACACCAGTGATAAAGTAAATGATGTTGAAGCACTGCTAGAAACACTTGGAAATCACTTCTCCCTCAGCAAGGTCGAGCACTGGCAGGGCAACTCCTCACCAAGGCTGTGGGGAGGAAGCACAAAGCCTAGGGGAATGGAACATGAGTTCGCTCTCTGTCTTGAACAGGGTGTGCTGTCTGACAAGTGTTAGCTCTGAAAAATGCATGATAATGTGTCCTTTTGGAGCTGGTAGCTAAGAAGAAGCAATTTCACTGTTGTAACAAAGGACAGGCTAACTCATCCCACATTGGCATCAATCCTGGGACTGGAGCCTGCAGGCTGAGGCTCTGGTGTGTCCTCATGTTGGGTCTCCCTGGGTTTTTAGATCTCTGGTGTGGCTGAGAGGGTACAGAGATGAGAAAGGAGTTAGAGATAGAGAAGGACAGTGTTTTGCAGCCTCTGGAACTCGATTGCATGGGGCCCCTGAGCAAGGTAAAACTGGGAGGTGTTTTGGATGGAGTTCTGCAACCTACATGGAATATTCCATAGGAAGCAGTTGGGAGGGAGTGTTTGGCACTGCAGCAGAGGAGGGAGCTGGAGCTCTATCTCTTCGAGGGAGCAGCAAGCTCTGGCTAAGTGAGGACTCTCATATCCTAGTTGACCTGTGCAGTGTCACACCTTGGCCCTACCTGTGAGCAGTTGCAGGTACAGCTCCATGACTCGGTGGGATGGATATTCCTGAGGTTTTCTCCCTCCTTCAGACTTTAGATGTGACCAAGCACTAGCTGCTTAAGCTCTTTTGTGAGGCTGGCACTAATCTCCCTAAATCATCCCAACCACCTCCATGAGGGAAGGAATTTTTGGGTGAGGGAAGAGGTTGTGTTTTGGAGAGCATCTGTGCTGTTCACTGTCAGCCTTACAGTGCTAGTGAGAGCACATTCTGATTTGAGACAGGTACAAGAGGTCAGAAATGCTGAAAGACAAGCAGCTTGTGTGTTTGTTAAATTATATGTATCAGTGGAAACATTTTAATCTGCTGCTTTCCTGCCCAGGCTGTCAGACAGGCACGGGAGATTGTTTGGCTTAGCCTTATTGCTCTTTATTCACACAGCTTTCTTCTCTGAGCAGAAGTGTAGTAGGCAAAAAGCTACTGGAAATTAAAGTCTAAAATCAGTTCTCTGGAGAAAAGCCAAAGTCCTAAAAAGCAAATTGGAAACATAAGAAACCTGAGTGCTGCACTCATCTGGAACAATAAACACTTCTTAATGAAACAGATGGAATTTACCAAACCACACTCCCAGCCCCTTCCTAAATGGAGGGGGACACCAAAAAACAGCAGTGTTGGGGGTTTTTTTGGTGTTAGGAAGAAGCTGTCTGCAGAGGCAAAACAAGCAAGAGGAACAGAGGAGCCAAACCCAGATAGCCACATGAGGAGTGTGGGCCAAGCTCTTCCCACCCTGCCCTGTCCCTCCCTGGGGACTGAGGGCTGATGGTGTGTGAGGCTGAGCACAGGTTCACCTGGAATGGGTGGTTTGAGAGAATTCTGAGCTGGCAGGTTTAATAGTGAAGGAATCACTGTTGGAGGTGGATCTAGCAGATCTTCTTGCTGATTGCCCTCAGTGCTTGGTCACTGTGCTAACTTGAGGTGCTGGTGGGGAGATCCTTCTGCTCCCTCAGATGGATTTACACCATCTCTTTCCTCAAACCCAGCTCCTGCCTTGCCTGCCTACAGGGCAGCCTTGGAGACCCAATTCCTGAGCATATGCTCTCCCAAGGAATAGCTGTTCAGCCTTCCAGTCCTTTTTGCCTGGCTGTGGAAGCTCTGTGTGATGCAGAGCAGATCTCTGTATGGAATGGCCTATCTTTCCTTGTCCAGAAAGAGGACCTACAAATCTCTTTCTCCAGGAAAGAACTCAATTTCCATGGATTGCTTGGCTGTCTTAAAGTTCCTTTAAAGCAATTAGAGGAAGTCCACTGGGGCTGTGTGGTTGAGCTCATCCCCATTCCCCTGACTCCTGCCTAGGATTGGGAACTGGCTTAATGTATATTTAGACTCAACCAGTGGCAGATTTCTCAAAGTCTTAAAAATAATCCACGTGAATTTCGTATTGATTTTCCTGAGTGTCTAAATGCCCTTATTGTCCCTCAGTATAATATCAGAGTCCTGCAGGGACCTGGATTAGTGGCATGGCTGGAGCTCTTGTGTGAGCAGGTTTGGAGCTCCTTGTGCAGCTCCAGGCATGATCCTGCTGTGCTCAGTGGGCATGGAGCATCCCAGCTGGATGGAGCTCCCTCTCCTCATGGCTGCACAAAGCACAGCAGCAGGGGAACTGAGTGTTTTCCTTAGCTTCCATGACAGTTGGATGAACAGCAAGGCCTCCCACAGTGCCAAAATCCGGTCTCCTGGGTCAAGTGAACCTCACAGGCAGCAGAAGTTTCTTTCTGAAGAGGTGCTTTATTTCTGAAGCAGCTTGGAACAAGAGGATGTTTCCCTCCCTAAATGCTAATAGCAACTCCTGCTTCCCTCCCTGCCCAGGAGGTTCAGTTTAGCTGCCTTGAAGGATGTGTCCCACAGGCAGATTCTTGTCTGGAACACACCTGATTGCTACCCAGCTTGGAAAATGTTCTGAATTTGAACGAGACACTAATTTGACCATTGCCACTTCCATCTTTGTAAGCTTGAATTGCTGTGAGTGGGTGTATGCCTTGGAAAACATGAATGTGTCCTCCATGTAGTCAGGCATTGGAATGTGCTGCCCAGGGAGGTGGTGGATTCACTATCCCTGGAGGTTTTCAAGCTGAGACTGGATGTGGCACTTAGTGCCATGGTCTGGTGACCATGGTAGGGTTGGACTCGATGATCTTGGAGGTCTCTTCCAACCGGGTTGATTCTATGATTAGGTAAATGCTGAAAGTGCAACATCCTCAAGTTATAGGCTTTGAATCTTGGTTCTCCTCTGAATCTTGCTGTTTTAACCCTCTGCTGCCTTCAGAAGCAACACTTGCTCCTCCTCATGCTCTGTCACACGCTGATTTATGGTGAGTTTAACCTGCTGAATGTGACTCGAGCCCAATGCTTAGTGAAATGTTGTGTTTTCCCTTCTATCTCCTAGAGTGTGAGCCCATAGAAGCGATAGCCAAGTTTGACTACCTTGGCAGGACTGCACGAGAGCTGTCCTTTAAAAAAGGAGCCTCTCTGCTGCTGTACCAACGAGCCTCAGATGACTGGTGGGAAGGACGACACAACGGCATCGACGGCCTCATTCCTCACCAGTACATCGTCGTCCAGGACACGTATGTTACACCTTCAGCCCAGCTACAAGTTGGCCTGGCTTAAAATCCAGGTGTGGAATGGAGTGTTCATGTCAGGATGTTGACCCCAGGTGGGGAGAGTTCACCCTTTGGTCTTCCCAGCAAGGGGAGCGAGCCGAGCTCTCAGAGGTGTAGGTGGCCACAGTTGTTCTGGTGCCTGCTAAGGGTCAGAGCTGAGATCTCCAGGTTGCTCACAGCAATCAGGCTCTCTCAGGCTGGAGGAGAACACAGGAAGTTCCACCTGACAGGAGGAAGAACTTTCCTGTGCAGTCACTGAGCACTGAACAGGATGCCCAGGGAGGTCATGGATTCTCCCTCACTGGAGATATTGCAGAACCATCTGGACACAATCCTGAGCCATGTGCTCTGGGATGGCCCTGCTTGAGTTGGTTGGACCAGATGATCCACTGTGGTCCCTTCCAACCTCACTGATTCTGTGATTTTCACAAGGGCACGTAGTGATAGGACACAGGGAATGACCTTCAGGTTTAGATAAGGTATTAGGAAAAAATCCTTCACTATGAGGTGCTGAGGCACTGGCACAGGTTGCCCAGAGCAGCTGTGGCTGCTCCATCCCTGGGAGTGTTCCAGGCCAGGTTGGATGGGGCTTGGAGCCACCTGAGCTGGTGGAAGGTGTCCCTGGCAGAGGGGATTGGAATGAGATGATCATTATGATTCCTTCCAACCCAACCCATTCTGGGATTTGAAGGCTGTGGAATGCTTGCACACACGGTGCTATATGTAAAATCCAGTGCTGGTTGTGATGTCCTTCCCTCCTCCTTCCCAGTGAGGATGGCATCTCGGAGAGATCCAGCCCAAAGTCAGAGATAGAGATCAACTCAGAGCCCCCCGAGGAGAAGGTGACAGCTCGAGCTGGTGCCAGCTGCCCCAGCGGGGGCCACGTCGCAGATATTTACCTTGCAAACATCAACAAGTAAGAACAGCCTCCAATTGTTTTCCTTAACTGTAAACAGCTCGGTGATGAGTCCAGGGAAACGTTTCCTGCCCTGAGGAAGGGGAATTAATGAGCTCTACCACCATCTTGCTCTGCTTCCCCCTCTTCTAACTCCCATTTTGCTGTCTTCTCTCTCTCACCGACGTGGCCAATGCTCATTTAAAACCCCACTGGCTTCTCTTCCCTCTCCCCAAGGTGCCATCTGTTCCTGTTTTCCCAAATATGTCCTATCTACTAAGCTGAGCAGACAGACAAAGGGAGGGCAATGGCACAATGAGTTCTTGTCTGGTGTGTCCTCATTCATTGTTAACGTTCTGTGATCTGCTGTGTCTTGTTCACAGTTAACACGTTTTGTTCCATGGGGTGGGGGACAATTCCTTCAGAAACCAGGGTCACATTTTGTGCTGAATGCCATACCTGAAGTCCCACCATCTGGCACTGCCCAGAACACTCCAGCACTTCTCACCTCGGGGTACTAACCTTATGCTTGCAGTGACACAGCACACACCTCCCTCTTGCTCTAACTTTACCTCCTCTCCCAAGAATTGTTGCTTCAGCCAACACCCAACATAACAAAAAGCTGGAAAATGAAGCTAGTAACAATCTAAACTCCATGATCTGTCATCTCATTTTTTTTTTTTCTGGAGCAGATTTATCCCCCATATATTTCTGGTTATTTCCTTAGCTTTAAAACCTCATCTCTCTGTTGTGCAGTGGAAGGTATTATGTGATAATTACAGTTTCATGGGAGGGAATAGCCTTAACCTTCAGTTAATTTAACACAATGTGATCTATAAAGGCATTAACAGAAATGCATCCTTTTAAAAGATTTGGGCCTGTTAGAGAGCCTGGTCCTTAGTCCTGGGATTCAGCAGAGCTCCACTGATGTCTGAAGCTGTGTTAATCTGCCTCAGCTTGGGATCTGGGCTTTCTTCTGTGATATTTGCTGTCTGAGCCACTCAAGTAGCCATTCTGCCAGTTAGGCAGAGATTTGTCTAACGTTGGAGCTTCACCATCTGCTGGTTTTGGTAGTGTTGTGTGGTTTTTACAAGCCCTGGGATAATGTCCACTCCAGTATTTTTTTTTTTTGTTTTGTTTTCCCTTTACTGTAATGTCCACTCCAGTATTTTTTTATTTTTTTTTGTTTTGTTTTCCCTTTACTAGGGAGCCTGATATTTAGCAATAGTAGCATAAGACTCATTTTGTTGTTTTTTCTTTAGGAATGAATCTTCTGACCTATGTGTGAACAGACTTGAGCAAAATTAAATCAGATGGTTTCGCAATGACAGTTGTGCCACCCACTGAATTATTATTTGGATGCCAAAATCCTACTGGAGTTAACACTTTCTTGCAGTTATTCATGGGGCTGGTGCTATATAGAAATGGATCCTTCCCTGTATAATGGATGCCAAGCTTCAGACCTATGGCATAAAGTATTCTGCTGCATTGGCCTTGCCATGATTTGAGTGGATTCGTGCTGTCAGACCTCATGGTGCTGGGGTAGAACCTAAATTCTTTGGACCAGTTCATCCATTTGACATCATCCTTTGGTATAGCTGTAGCCCTGCATAGATAATGCCTTGTGGTCCTGCCAAAGCCATGAAAAAAGAACCATCTCTTACCACCAGCAAACATTGGAAATGATCATTGACCCCAAACTGGGGTTCTTTGCTTGCTGATCTCTGAAAACAATAACTTGATGCCTTGGGCCAGGAGCTTAGTAGACTTATACTGTGTCCTCCAGTCAAAAATTGTAGCTCTGCTCTTCGAATGTAATAAAAACACATCATCAAAACCTGTCGATGGCACAGAGGGTTTTTTTTTTGGTTCATACACAAATTCTTTTCCTCCTGACCAAGTTAATCATGTTCCATCCAAGGTTTCTGGGTTTGCTCTGAGCGTGCACAGCTGCCAGACCTCAGCCTTGTTGTTAGAAGTGTTCGGCTGGAATGATTTCTGTATCAAATCCCGGGTGTGTGTTTGGAATCTGGGGAGTTTTTTGTCTCTTCCCATTGTCCTCTGTGTTGTTTTGGGGGGATATCTTCAAATGACAGCCCGTTTTGTCTACCTGCTTGTATTGACTTGTTTTGCTTTTGTGACTGAAGGCAAAGAAAGAAACCAGAGTCAGGCAGCATCAGAAGAGCCTTCCGTCAAAGTGACAGCCACGGACTAGGTAGTTCTCTGGCAGAACCAGCCTCCCCAGGAGCCATAGCCGGTTCCAGACCCTCATCTCAGCCCATTATGAGCCAAAGTCTTCCCAAGGAGGTTCCAGACAAATGTTCCATCAGTGGCCACGGCAGCCTCAATTCTATCAGCCGACACTCGTCGCTGAAGAACAGGATGGACAGTCCCCAGATCCGCAAAGCTGTCACCGCAGGCAGGTCCAAGAGCTTCAACAACCACCGACCCATGGACCCCGAGGTCATTGCACAGGTAAACTGCAGCTCTGCCCTGAAGGTTTGCTTTGGGAGCTTGGATATAATGAGGTGTTTGAATGCAAAGTCTGATTTCATCTCGTAGCCGTTCCGTTCCGGGGAGCGGAGCATCTCTGGGATGAGGAGAGGCTGTGGGAGCTGGGCCTGGTTACTCTGGACATGAGAAGGCTGAGAGGGATCTCATCAGGCCACACACATATCTCCAAGGGGTATCAGAGGATGGTCACAGTCACTGGTGCTCAGTGACAGGATGAGGAGTAATAGCCATAAACTAAACCACAAGCAGTTCCACCTCATCATGAGGAAGAACTTCTTTCCGTGGAGGTGGCAGAGCATTGGGACAGCTGCCCAAGGAGGTCATGGATTCTCATCTCTGGAGACATTCCTGGCCCACCTGGACACGTTCTTGTCTCACCTGCTCCAGGTGACCCTGTCTGTGCAGAAGGTTGGACTGGATGATCTCCAGAGATCCTTCCCAAGCCCAACCACTCTGTGATTCTCTCAGTGCAGTATTAACTTACCCCACAGCTTGAGCCTAGTCTTTCACCCTCACTTTGTGCAAGGTGCTGAGGCTGCTTTCCTGAGGGAAAATAAACAATCAGGTCCTTCCTCCATAAAAACTTGGCCCTGCTCATGTTTCCCAACTTCATTTCAACAACAGAACTATCCGTTTCACAGAGCGACACAGATTTCAAGGCTGTCAGCAAAGAATTAGCAGTCAGAACTTCAAGGCACAAGAAAAGAAAAGCACTTAGTGTCGATGCAGTGTTCTCCTGTCAGTTGTGCAGACTTGCCTGTGGTTAGACACTGGAAGCACGTGGAGCAGCACAGCCAAAATAAAAGCAGCTGCTGCCTTGTAAGTGCTCCAGTGGCATCTTTATGTGCTCTCAGAAACCAACTTGGAACACACTCCTGCTGGTTTTCCTGACTTAGTTCCTCAGACAAGTGCCTTGAAGTGGGAGAGGGCAGGCTGTGAAAGGTGAAAATGCTCCAGCTTTCCCTCTGCCATGCAGGATCTGCCCTGTCTCCCACTCCAGGCTGGTGGATGTGCCTGCACTTGCATGTTGCCTGTACCAACTGTTTGCAGTATGCGATGGATGGATCTATCTAAAGCCAAGGAATGCTCCTGGCTCGGGTTACAAAGCCCTGGGAGACCTGACTGCTCTGCCTGGTTCAGGGCTCTGTAGGTTTCTAAGGAGCTGGGGGAAAATATGTGAAAATTAAACATCATTTTTATTGACAAAACAGCAACTCCAAGGAATAAATAAATCCAAATGAAAACCTGATGGGGGTTCTGATGGCAAGTTGTATTTTGCTGTTATGGCTATCTCTAGGCCCATTTGTTACAGTGGAATTATAATCTACAGCTCCTGTTGTCTTCATATTTCCCTGTCCTTCCAGGGCTTTGGTTGATATAAATCAGAGTCTTTGTTTTTTCAATTAGGCTCTAAGTGAAGCTGTTCTGTCTCTTCTCTCTGCCAGAACCTTCACTCCAGCATTTCACTGGAGAAGAGTCTGGGGAGGAAAGAGAAGGAGGAGGGGGAAAATAAATGAAAAAGAAGAGGGAGCCCAGAAAAATCTCTGTGAAATGAGTGTTTCTCTCTGCCCTGCAGTATCTGCTCAAACAGCATCCAACAACCATTGTGCATCTTACATATTTCCCCAACTTCATAACTGCAATCTGCTTGGCCTCAAGATAGACTGGGAGGTGTCAGATTACTGTCTCTGCTTTCCTCCACCATTCCTTGACTGATTTACCTTCCCCACCCCCTGAAAAACCTCTGAGGAAGCTGAAAAGCTGTAGCCAAAGTGTGAGTCACAGCAAGGCTGAGCTCTCCTGCTCCCCAGCGAGGTCTGTGCACCACTGGGCTCACCAGTAGCAAACATGAGACAAAACCTCCATGGTTTTATCTCAAAGTCCTCTTTCTTTTTAAGAGGAAGGAGAAGTGCCAGCTTGAATTTCTAGACATGCTTCTGCTATTTTCTGTGTCTTGTAAAGCTTTCAAAGTGTGAGTCTCTTGTAATACCTTTCTGGGAACAGCTCAGACAGCAGGAAGACCAAAGAGCACACAAGGATTTCAGCCTTTGCTGTGTGGCCCATCAGCCAGTCTGAAAAATCATCCATCCATCCTTCAGGAATTTGCTCTCCTGAATCTCACATGCCAAATAAAGTGCAGGAGTGGGTGCTAATACTTTGAGTCCAGTGGATTTCTGGTCGTTGATGCATTTGGGGATTTGACTCATCTTTGAGGTCTAAGCAGCAATGGAGAGCAATGAAGATGTAGATTAGCATCAAGACAGTGCTAGCAATCCCCTCCCTCCCCATGGCTGGAAAATCTTAGTGCTCCCTGGCTGCAGGATGTGATGCTGCACAACTTGGCACAGGTTTCACTCTTGACACCTCAAGGTCCTCGACCCGAGGTTCGTTCGAGCGTTGGTGTTTACGGGCTGCAACCAAACCTGTCGCCCTCAAAGCCTGAGTTTTATCTGTGTCTTTGTGTGTCTGGGCTCTGTATCCACTCAGTGTCTCCTTGGTGTTCGCAGGATATCGAAGCCACCATGAACTCTGCTCTGAACGAGCTGCGGGAGCTGGAGAGGCAAAGCAGCGTCAAGCACACGCCGGACGTCGTCCTCGACACGCTGGAGCCTTTGAAGACCTCCCCAGTGGTGGCCCCAACGTCTGAACCTTCCAGCCCTCTGCACACTCAGATCCTCAAGGACACTGAGCCCCCTTTCCAGCGCAGTGCCAGCACAGCTGGTGACATTCCCTGCACCTTTCGACCCGTCAAGTCGGTCAAAATGTCCTCCCAGGTGAAACCTCCTGCCACTCGCCCGAAACCCACAGTGTTCCCCAAAACGAACGCCACGAGCCCTGGTGTGGCCTCCTCTGCAGCTCAGCAGCCTCCTGACAAGTCCTGTACTGTCTGATAAACTCCCTGCTGCTCTGTGGGTACAACTGTTACTGTTTCACACGAAGAGACTCCGTTAAAGACATGCAAAATTGCTATTTAATGTTTGGACTCCTGAAGGTTAGTTGTGAACTGCTACTCACTCTTCCTGGGAGTGACCTCAGTGGTGACAACCTCATCCCACGTCCCCACGTGGCTGATGTGTGTGAGGCAAAGGTTCCTGCCACTCTTGGGAAATCCACCACGGGGTCACTGTGAAGCTGAGCAGGAAAACACAAGTTGGATCTTGGTTTCTAGTTGATGCCTTGAGTTCAAGTGTTTGGCCACTGAAGGAAACGTTCAGTGGCATCCTGGTTTTTTTGGATACTGGTGTAGTGACTTATATATTCTGTGTTCCATTTTATCACAGGGAAACAATAGGATAGATTTTAGTCTATTGCATGTTTTGGTGCCACTGGTTACGTGGAGCTTGGACATGCCTGTTTCTTGTGCATTCTTATTACTCCTCCGGCGCCTCCGGTGCCACAGTGGTTAAGGGTCTGTCTCAACTTCCATCACATCCTCTGCTTTTGTTTGTTTGCTCCCCCATTCCTCCCCTCCTGGGGCCAAAGCCCTTGGCCATCCAACCTCATGCTTTAGTTGACACTTGTCATGACCAGTAGTTTACTCTGGAACACTCTTAGATTTTGTGGAGTTCTACGTAATAAGTGTCTGTGCAAATATAAACAAACATGTTCCTGAGGTTGAGGAGCATAAGAAAGAGCCCAGTTGTTGCTTGTGGACAATCGAGCTGGTTTCCCCTCCCTTTGCTCTCCCATATTTAAAAGCAGCTCTCTTGTTTTTCAGTGTAGTTTTCAGCCCTTAGGCTCTGCTGTGGTGTGTGGTCTCGGGAGACTGAATGTAAAAACAAATCCACTTGGAAAACTCAACGTCCTCCCATGGGAGACCATTCCCTAACGCACACATCCTCGCCCTGCCCATACACCAGGATGGATCCTTACCAAAATCCCAGTGACAAGCACTGTCAAAACTTCACTAAGAAGTTCCCAAGCTTTCCTACCTTCTCCCTCCGTGTGGCTGCAAACGCTTCGCTCGGTGGCTGTGACCTGTTCTAGGGATCTCTGCTCTTATAGAGCAGTGCAGGAAATGCTGCTGGGGACAGGGATGTGACAGCATGAGGCTTTCCCTCTGTGTTCCTTGGCATGGCTCCTCCCCAGGACTCAGACACAGGAATGAATTCTTCGGGTTTGGGTTTATCCATAGGCAGCAAAGGCTGCACAGACCCTTCTGCACTGCTCGGAGTGTCCTCCACGCTGAGAACAGATATTTCATTTTGGAGTGATTGAAAAGGAAAAGGCATGTGCCTAAAGAAGATTCACAGCCCTGCAAGAGTGGAGACTGGCTGACCCTCAGTTCACCTTGTTCCTGAACTTTTCTGGGATGTAAAACAAGCTGCACATCTTAGGTTTTCATCCATTCCAGGCAAGGATGAGATAAGAAAAGTCATTTTTCTCGCCTGTTTAGCTGAGTTTCTCTTCAGTTTGTGGGTTCCTTGTGGCTGCAATGTTTAATTGGCACTTAGTGACTAAAAGAGAAGAAACAAACGATGCTCCTTGGAGTAACCCCAGGGTTTTTTGGTGTCCCTGTCCCTCCCCACACGCACAGCTCCATCTCTGCAGGGCTAATCGAGCCACGGTGGTGATGGCTGATAAAACACCAACCTTGTGCCCTCAGGAACAGAGAACACTTGGGGAAGACTGGGAAGGTTTCAGTGGGAACACTCTGTGTCCATTTCTCCTCAGCTGTCCCTGGGGAAGCCCCAAGGTACATGTGTGACTGTCACTGGAGCTCATGGACCATCCCAGCAGCACAACCAGCCACCTTTGCTCTCAGGTTCTGATGGACTTCTACCACCAAGGAATCACTTGTTCTTTTGGGGAAAAATAGAGTTACAAAACTTGTGATTTTTTGCTCAGGCAGAACTTTTCTGGCATTTCCTTTGAAGTCGGAATTTTTGTTAGGTTTCTTTTCTGGTTTGGTTTTTCTTTTTTTTTCGGGTCGTGAATGACCGAAGTTAATCTGTGTCAAGAGCAGGATCTCTGTAAATTGACTTCAGCTCATTTGTAATGCCTTATTTTCTTTCTATTTTTATGCCTAGCATTCATGTTTCTAAGGATTAAGTGTCCAGCCACGCACAGCACATTGGAGGAGATGCTCTTTGCTATCTTTGAGGTCTGAAGTTAGGAGACTGAAACACAAAAAAAAAAAGACTTCAGGTTACTGTAACAGCAACTGTCTGTATCTGAATTACTGTGCTTCTCTCTAGCCTCCACAGCTCTGGGACAATCCTGCTCTCAAGGAGAACAGCAGGATATGGAACAACTCAACTGGAATTCTGGTGTGCACTGTGATTGACACTTACACTTACAGCAAGCAATATTGGCAGGCTGAAGCTCATCCTTCCTCTTCCTCCAGGTCTGGCCAGCCAGGAGAAAACACACACATGGGAGAAAACACACAGCAAGGAGACTCTGTGACCATACAAGGCTGAGAGAACCTTTGCCATGAGTGTTTCCTCACCAGGTGGGAAGGAGGAACTGGAAGTTCCCAGGAGAAGAGCCCAATGTAGAGTGGCCAAGCACGACGTGGTGGTTTGCTTGGGGAGGTCTTAGTGTTACTTCATATTCCGAAGAAATATTAGCTCTTCCATGGAAATTCTCTTTTCATGACTTTTATGTACTGTTTGTGTCAGCTCTAAAGACAAGAAGTGTTGGATAACTGGAAAAACGTCTGTCTGTTCGATAGTGCTTTGTATGAACCAGAGTCTTGTTCATCAGGTGTTGGATTGGAAGAATCCAAAGCAAAAACTTGTCAAATAAAACAGAGTTTTAGGTGGTTCATCTGAGCAGTTTCTGAAGCTCCAAACTTTGGGTTATTTCCCTCCTTGGGGATGGAGCAGTGTGCTAAATTTCTGCCTCTCTGAGGTCATCCAAAGGCTCTCACCAACTGTAAACTTGTCCTTCAGGCCAGGGCAGTGTGGGACAGCAGCAAACTCTCTCACTTTGTCTGTACTGGATATTTGATTGCAAGAAAAAAGAGTCAATAATTAGAGTGCACTGTGACAGCAGAAACAACCCTCGTTGTGTATGTCTGTGTTTGGATACCTGTTCTAAAGGAGTCTTTGGGTTTCCTGTGCTGAATACCTCATGTGTTGGGTTTTGGGAGTTTTTTTGTTGATCTTCTTTTTTTTTGTTTGTTTGTTTGTTTGTTGAATTAATTTTAATTGCTTTTTTTTAAGGCAAGATTCTTCTTGCACAAAAGTAGGTTAAGATAACCGAGTTCTCATAAATTTATTGACCGACTCTAAACACTTCAGTGTGGCAAGAAATTCCATCTGTGGTGGTAGTTCCTCACCTTGCACTTGGTTCAAGGCACTTGGAAGAGCTCCAGCACTACTGGGACAAAAGAAGTTCATTGCAGATGGAGTTTGCTGCCTTATTTTCTCTTTTTCTGCATGTCAGAACCTCAAGTGCAGTTGGACATTGTATAGACTTGGGGATTTATTGAGCTTTGCAGAGATGTTCTTCCACAGAAACCAAGGTCTCTAGTTATTAGCACTTCAGCTCCTTCCCAGATGTGTGGATGGGGTAGACTGGGATGCTCCACCCTTGATGGAATCCATACTGAGGGAACACTTCAGAGAGGTGATGCTCTCAGTGGGGCATAATTTGGTAGTAAGGCAACAGCAGTGATAGAAAAGTCCTCCAAAAATCCCCTTTGAAGACAGTTTGATTGACCCAGTAAGAGGTTGAGCTCACCTTGTCCACCACATCCATGAGCACAGGTGGGAGTTGAAGCACATGCCTATGTCCCTCTAGGAAAACTGCTTTAAAAAAACAAAGGAAAAGAGGAGCATTGGGGTATTCCCATCACTTAGGAGCCTGTCCAGGGCAGAAAATGAGTTGGACAAGGCAGAGATTTATTTATTCAGAGATTTTGTAGCTTTCCCAGAAATAATAAGCCCTTTTTGGGGCTTCTCTGGCCTTGGTTAATGCCCCACAAATACAAGTGGAGGCACAAAGCTGTTTCTTTAGTGGACTGGTAGCCTTGGTGGAAGGGAGAACACCTCATTCCCTAGGGATGCTCCCAACCACCAGCTCTGGGCAAACCCCGAGCGCTTCACGGGCTGAACTCTGGGGCTTTGAGCTCCTCTCTCACTCCTGAAGAAAATCCTCTTTGAGCTCCACTTTCTGCTCGTCTCCATGTCTGTGTGACAACCTGGTACTTGAAAAAAAAATAAAATAAAATAAAGCTCAAGATACTTGACCCACTGCCTCGTGCCCCGAGGCCGCGTCACGCACAAGCGGCGCCGCCGCCCCAGAAGGCAGAGGAATTCTTTTCCAGGCTTGGTTTTAGGAACAAACCATCTTCTTTTGGTGGCTCCAGAGAGCAAAACAGTCCTTCAAAGCCTGGAAAATGTAAGGTTGGTTTGGTTGTTTGTTTTTTTTTTTCCTGGTATATTTTGTGCTTCCTCTAATGTAGTTTGAGGCGAAAGTGTTGGTTTTCCACGCTGGGCCAAAAAAATAGGTGAAGGTGGAGAAGGGAGAGTGACTCCCTGCTGTATTAATACTTGATCTTACCAAGCTTCATACAGGGTAAATACTTAGCAGTTTGCAATGGAAATCATAGCTGGATCTTTGCTTTTCAAGGCACTGTCGTAACCTTACTCCTGAATTAAACTTCACCAGCCTTTTTTTTTCTCCAGGCAGAGCCCTGAGCTGTGAATAACCCAAGTCCAAAAGGGGTTGGACTCGTGAGTTGTGCCAAACTGCTGGAGCAATACTTGTGAGCAGCAGGTTCTTCAAAAGACCAGCTCTATGTAGCCAAACTAGGGCAATTCCTGACAGCCATCTCTGATTTGGGAGGACCACGTGGTCCTGCTGTGCCGGTGGGAATTTGGGTTTGCAAAGCCTCAAAGTGTTGTTTTGTGTCTGCAGCTCAGTCTGAGGGTCCAGTGCA